TTACAGTATTGTTTTATGTTAAAAAATCTGAGGGTTTAATGTCACTTTAATGATAGGCTAATCCTATAAGGTCATATACTTATGTAAGCATATTCTTAACTTATTTCTGACGTCACGACTCCCATACTTCTCTATATGGTGCGACCAAAACTACTTAAGTCATGAATTTCTAAATGTCATTCTACAACTCTATTTAAAAACACAGAACCTTGTTCTTAAAACACTCCCCTAACAGCTGCTTCTTTACCAGTTCTATACAAATTCTGACATAGCTCAGATTTCAAGGACAGTAGATGTCTGTTCAAAGTCATACATTCATAAGCTTCATTTAAACGCACAAAGTCACTTGTAAATATATGTATATATGTATGGGCCCATTCTATAATTTCCCTTTCCCTTTAAGCCAAATCAAATTTGAATCTAAGTATTTTACAACACGTTTACATGTTGTCAGGAGGTACAGATGAATTCCGCATATAACAAAATATCTATGCTTGCTGCATGTTTCATTGGGGTAGTATAAGAGGCATTGAGAGGGAGCAAAGAGAGATATATACAAAATACGTTTCCATAATATCAGTTGTATTTTATTTTTAAAAGCAATTTTTTGAAAAGAAAAGTCTCCGAAGCATCAGATTGTTTATATATCATTGATTTCTGTGGGACTTTTATTTTTTCTGTTTTCTTTTTCTCCTTTTTTCTCTCTAGAGTCCCAAAAGTCTCCATCATCCCAGTCAATACGAGGACAAACATATACAGTGATTTGTACCTCCTGATTAAAACGAAAAACATTTTCTCCCCTATACATATGCAGGGCCGTCTTTAATATTGATAGGACCCTGGGCAAACATTTTCTTGGGCATCCCCGCCACCTACACACATCATAAAAAGACTGGATACGCAATGTCCCAGCAGCCCAGCCTAGCTCGCCTGCCTCTGCCCTGGTGGTGAAGCTTAGTCCGGATGTCACATCTCACTCTTCTTATTGACGTGTGACATAGCAGAAGCCACCCTCATGCGACATCCTCCTGCAGAGCAGATATGAGACGTGAGGCTGTGAGACGCAACGCATTCACACTATGTGGCGTACGGCAGGGGTGGAGCAACACCATGTGATGTCGATAGGACAGTAAATAGAACAGTGCTGTGTGTATATCTTTTGCCAGCTCAAGGGGCAGCTGCTTTGGGCCACAATAATGACTGGGCCCAGGGCACCTGCCCCTTTTGCCCTGCGTTAAAGACTGCCCTGTACATATGTATCCTATACGGATACAAATATATGTCTCTTGTGACGGGACAATTTCAGTTTGGAATGGGACTCAAACCATGAGCGTCAAATAAGTAAATAAATCAAATGGGACTTGAATCACAGAAAGCAGCTAAAGTTGATGGCATCATTAATTCCTGTTTTTTTCATAGGATTTGGTGGAATGGATCCATTTGCATTCTCTTTGAAGTAGGAGTTTATCCCAGTTCCCTCCCCTACTAGGTATATGGATTCTATCCACAACAAAAAACCTGAGTCCCTGGGTTTTTCCCCCATGTGCCTGTACCATGTGTCTGGCAATGGGGGACCTTAGGTCATGTGCCCCAATATCAGAGACATGGTCGGAGATTCTGTTTTTTAACATTCTTTTTGTCTTCCCTATGTAAAACATATTGCATGTGCATGTTAGAAGATGTATAACCCCTTTAGTTTCACAGTTGGCAAAGTGTTTACATTTTATGTTTTGTCCACTAGGGGTAGTGGTCTCAGATCCCGTTTGAATAAAGGGGCACAATTTGCACTTTTGGCATTTGTAAGTGCCTGGATATTTACAGCAAGACAATTTTTTATTTGTTATGAATTCACTGGAAATTAATTTATCGTTTTAAAGAGGGGAATTTTTTCTATATTATTGTTGGTTTCTGCTGTAGAAACTTTGAGATTCTGGAATCCTTTAATAAGCAATGCCAGTGCTTCGTTAATATGTCCCTAAGGCCTGGTTCACACCTGAACGTTTTGTAGCGCGTTCAACGCTCGACAAAACGCTCAAACATCTAAATCCCATTGTATTCAATGGGTCTGGTTCACACCTTGCCGTATTTCCGCCCGTCCCTAACGCGCTACAAAACGGCCTACGCCCAAAGAAGTACATGTACTTATTTGGGGCATTTTGGTCTTGCGTTTCCATTGGGATACAGCCAAGTAGCCCACGGAAAAGCGCGTTTGTCGTGCGTTTTTTTAACCGCGAAACGCGGTAAAAACGCGCAACGCGAACCGTGCGACAAACGTGCATATTCAATACGCCTAGGTGTGAACCCAGCCTAACTGCTTGGTGCTGATTGTTATATGTAAAAATTAATCCAAGTTGGTCGTTCTGTTTTGTTTTTTTATTTTTGAGTCCAATTTGATCTATAGTTGGCTTTGGTCCTATTGTATGCTTTCTGTAGGGTCTTATCAGAATATCCTCTTTGTTGTAGTCTATGTCTCAAGTTTTTGGCCTCAAGTTCAAAGTCCTTGTCTAGGCTACAATTTCGCCTTACCCTAAGGTATTGTCCAAACGGGATACTGTTTTTTAGGCTTTGAGGATGAGCACTGCTGGCCTCTAAAAAAATATATATTTGTGATACCAGTTGAAAATATTAAGGCTTTTACACGGCGGGCCTCTACACTGCTTTTCCATAGCATTGTCTCCTTAGCACTGTTAAGAATTACTAGCAGAATGCAGCTATATATGTATTTGTGTGCATTTTGATATAACTATGTTTGTCAGATATATGTTTTTTTTAGCATTTCTATAAATAAATATATATTTTTATAAATATTTTGTTATATACTTTGAAGCAATGGTGGGATCCCCTTCGTGGGGAAAATTGCATCTTTTACTATTATAAAGAAGTAGGGGAGCCTCCTTCAATATTCTGTATACTCACCACTTTACCTTCCTTTCCCCATTTATATACTTATTTGTGTATCACTCTGTACTTTGTGTACACTGTATATATCTTTGTCAAGGCAATTCCCGAGCAAAACTCCCATATACCATCAATTGCTAGTAGCAATCTGCACCACAAGCCTTTGCAAATTATTTTGAAGCTTTCACTGAACTTTCATTATCTTTGATAAGTAATACATACTAAGTTCTGTCCCGTGACCCAGTCAGAGCCAAGTGTTGTCACATATTTTTAGCAAGTCAATGTATATAAATGATATATACTTTTCACTTTATTAGTCTCTTAGGTGGATAGATGTTATATTTATAATTGATATTTGAATGTATATATTTTATACATTTGAACAATTACTTTGTACATGATCTTCGAAAAAATGGTTACAATGTAGTGTAATTCTTAGAAACTTTGGAAAATCGGGCTTGATACAACATTCCATTACCTAACATAGAATGCATTTAGTTAAGATGCGTGGTTTCAGGGTTAGGTCTCCACCCTCAAGCACAATAACACACAATACACAAACCCCATTCATATGCACCTACCTGATACACCCTCCTAGAGCTCTTTCCATGGTCTCCTTCAGTCTCCAGTCATATGCTAATGAGCAGCTCCTGTGTGTTGGCCAATCAGAAAACCCCATCAGTTAGCAAATGCCAGTTTCTGCTCACATAAATACCAGCCCTCCACTTCTTACTATCAGTGGCTCTCACTTTGCTTTTAGTGGAAGTGATTTTCAGTTCTCCATTCACTACTTCCCAACAGAATTTATTTGGGGAAGATTTGGCGAGCTGAGAAGTCTGTGTAGCTTTTTATTCAGTGAAGATCGACTGCAAGACCATCTTCACCTTTTCCTTTATCAAAGTAAGTCATTTAGAACACATTGGTTATATTTCCCCCTTAACATCCTGGGCTTTTCCTATGCTTTTAGGAGATGTAGTATACTCAACAGAACATAACTTGGCAGTTAATAGACAATCTCTTAAAAGTTACCTAAATTTAGATTCTGTTATTGGGTATTTATAATACTCGTCAGCCATTGGGTTATTGCCAGACAAGTGGTTCTTAGATGATCCAACAAAAAGATTCCCCTGCCATGATCCCCAACGTTTTTACATGATTGTTATATGTCCATAATATCCTGATACCTTAAGAGGTTTATATCAAATCTCCATGAACCTATGTATATGTTTTTGTAATTAAACATATATTCTTTGTTGGGTGACTGGAGTAATGAATAACATGTTTTACTGTCCTGAGGAATTGATTACATGGGGATTTTGAATGTAATTATGAATCTGTCCAGGCCTGTTCATTGTAAATGGTCAACACAAGATATAATACGATCCACAAACACTTCGGAGCCAAAGCCCTTTTTCCTCACACTAGGAACATACTTTGTTCCTGATTCTGATCTGATTACATTAAGTATTGGGAGGCCACCAACCAATGGCCCTCAATGCACCAAAGATATATCAATTGAGGGGTGGGGAGAGACAAGTCCAGACCTTTGAACCAACAGAATGGGGCCCTCGTGTGACAAGTAACGGGCACATATACTGTATATACTGTATAACATGATCTTTTCTTTGTGTTTTGTAGTTATTGATTGTTGGTTCAGTGTATTTAAGTCTTAATATACTATACTTACTATATACCAAAAAAAAAGTTTTATTGTGTTGAGCTCAAAAATCGCATGATTGAATCCTCAGAACCGTATACTTTTAGGTGTGAACGCTTATATAGTGGATCATAACTGTAACTCGTAATTCAATTGGACCATCTTAGATTGTCTGGTACATTTGAGACCATAATAAAATGCGAACCGAGGTTCTGACCTTTTCATATTTTTTCTAGAGAAACAAAGATGGTAAACATTATTTTATACAATACATGTGTAATGCATTCTTTTAAAATGAAATAATCTACTTGGTGGCCCTCCTAATGTAGGTAGCAAATAATGATCAGTGTTGGGTGATATCCAGATACATGTTTAATCATGTTATTAAAGGGCATTAAAGTGACACATTAAACCAATCGGTGATTTCTGATGTTGTGATTCCAGAATGGCTTCTAACATCCAAGAAGTGACCAAAACCACCGCAAAGCATCTTCTCCAGCTCATCTCCCAGACCTCTGAAAACCTGAGGATGATCGAGGTGACGGATCACTTTGACCCCATTGAAGAACTCGGGGCAGGATCATATGGAAAGGTTCTCCTGGCCAAACACCGCTGCTCAGGTAAACTTCTCTTGCTTAATTCATGTAAAAGATTATTTTACAGTACAATATGTATTTGTGAATCACATAAAAGCCATCAAATTAAACTCTGACAGCAGAACTAGGGCACATATGTATGTATATGTTGGTGAATGTGCATTTTTTGCTGCTTCTTAAATATGCCCTTTAATGTATGTAAACCACAACAATGAACTTCTGTTCTTCTGCTCCTCTGTGTTCTGCTAAATATGCAGTTGGAAGTGTTTTTGTTTTATCTGTTTAATAAGTGCTAAAACTGTCTAGAGTGAGTGCAGATCTCTACAGGATCTTTCTCTAAATTTGAGAATCAAGTCAACATCTAAGGATCCATAGAATTGTTCAGTTTCAGCCAATTAGTGGGGCATCTTTCAGGCTTTCTGCACACAGACATTGCTTATTTTTACTCTGTTTCCAGGACATGATGCCCAGAGGATTCACATTCACTAAGCAGTACCCTTTGCTTTGAGCTGTACATTGTTCTAAAAAAATCCCTCACCTCCAGTTCTGGACTGATGGGTCTTACTGAGTAGGTTCTGTAGATTTAAACAAGCTCTAGCAAGCTTCAGTATGTCTCCTATGTTGGGTTTAATCTCAAACTGACCCCCCCCCCCCCTCCTTTCAACCCAAACTCCCCCCCCCCCCCCCTCCTTTCTTTGACAGGTCAGTTAGTGGCCGTGAAACTGCTGAACAAGGAGAAGATTGCAATGGACAATTTCTTGATGGAATATGGAATGTCTCTCAGCCTGAGCTGCCATCCACACATCATCATGACCCATGAAATTGCCTTTCATACCAGCAGTGACTATGTGTTTGTCCAGGAGGTGGCAACAGCTGGAAACCTTCAATCTGTGATAAAACCAATGGTGAGTTAAGTTTTTTTTTTAATACAAACAAGTTCTGATCTCTGCCCTCAACTTCTCAGAGGTTTAATATCCAGCACATTGGCAAACAAACATAACTTTGTAATTATGCTTTGTGTTGCAAAGGAATATAAGTCCAAACTTCTTCCTGGGACTTTAATATAGATCCAGGTTGTCGGTCAATTCAATGAAACAACGCACACCCCACATCATTTAACCACTTCCTGACTGATGCAATTGTTACATTTTTTGCTATGCAATTCTTTCATGGTGGTAATGTACAGTCTTATTAAGTGCACCCACACATATTATATATTTCGTTTTTTTTAGAGAACAGATAGGCATACATATCTGATCTAAATATATAGCCCCAACACCTCACTTAGGAGGAATTAAACAAATATAGAAAATGTGAAAACATTACTTTTCCCCCAGTTTTTTTTTTTTATTATTATTATTATTATTATTATTTTAGAAAAATATTACAGACAAAATACATCAATTTATTTGCCCTTCATCTACAAACACCTCATATGCCTAGGGTTTGTATTTTTTCAATATTGTATTTATCGGCCAAAAGCGAATAGTGGTTTTCAGGTTAGATAGGTGGAGCATAATGTCACTAAGTGCCACACTTAATGACACCAACATATTTTGGACATTGTCACCATGAGGGAGTTAAATGTAAAAAACAAAACAAAAACCTTAGTGTGGAAAACAAATCTGCAGCTTAGCTACAGATTTTCATTGTAAGGGGTTAATCTTTTTGTGTGTTTTTTATTTTGTTTTATATACTTTTACACTTTGTCACTGTATATCAAGCAGTCATTATTAGGCTGCCCCAAACCTAGGAAAGAACAATATTAGCCTTAGTCACACTGATTCCTGTCGGGCTGATTTTGCAGCATTTCAGGATTAGATGTCACTAAAGACTTCTGATTGTTCCTAGAACGATCAGAAGTCTGATACAATGTTTTAAAATTGTGCTACAAGTTTCTATGCAAAAAAAGCCAGTACACAGGCTCTGTACAGAACTGCCACAACTGTGATAGGTGAGTGGTTCACGCCGCTCTGTTATCACGGACAGTGATCAGGTATCTAAAAACTTTTTATTTTCATTAATGGATGGTAAGCACTGTCAGCCGTTACAGGCTTTTGACAGCTTCACATAGCTGATCGTGTACAGTGTACATTATCAGTCATTTGGGCACTTCGTGATGGGGACGTACACTGTATGTCTCCGGTCATGGAGGGGTTACACAATGATTGCCATCAATCAACCCAGAAAACAATTAGACCTTGAGGAGTTAGAAGGCGAGTATTGTGGTGATGTTTTTTTTTCTTTTTTCCCTGGAGTACAAGTCCAAAACATCAGGTTGACAGGTTTCCTTGTACATCCTCCTAGTGTATTGAAGTCCTGTATATTCTCTCTCCATGCACAGTGGATATGATAGACTTCTTATGTCAAGTATTAAATAACATTTTGTCATATTGGTGTCTAAATCCCCATTTGTTTTTCCTTTTTCATAGGTTGGTTTAAGTGAAGATATGGTTAAACGCTGTGTTCCCCAGATAGCGAGTGCATTGGACTTCATGCACAGCAAAGGAATGGTCCATCGTGACATCAAACTGGACAATATTCTACTGATGGACTTTGAATGTCACGTGATCAAGTTGGCAGATTTTGGACTTGCAAGACTCCAAGGCACATATGCACCATCTATGGCCTGGTTCATTCCATACACGGCTCCTGAACTGTGTAGCCTAAAACAAGGAGAACAAGTTTTGCTGCACCCAAGTATCGATGTGTGGGCCTTCGGTGTCCTGGTGTACACTGCCCTGACTGGTTCCTTCCCTTGGAAAGGAGCAGAGGGTTCTGACCCAATGTATAGGGACTTTGCATGGTGGCAAGTGAGGAAGGATCTCACTTTAGCACCAGGACATCGGAGGAAGTCTTCTCTTGAAGCCAGACAGATGTTCTGGGACATGTTGGCTCTCCAAGCCCCCTTGAGGTGCTCTGCTATGGACATTGTAAAATATCTTCACCTGCCATGGAAAGCAGACATGCCTCCAGAAAACCTAACAAGGAATCCAGGGATATTACATATGACATACAGGGCGTTTGATGTCCATGCTGGAGCTTCCTCGAGTACTGCCTCGTGTCTTCTTCCAGATCATGAGCTAACCTCCCTAACTATTGGAGCCGAGGTGGATATCACATAACACCCTTTCGATGGCCTAACAATTAGGACACAGATGTGCTGGATGTACTATGGGAATGGGGTACACACCTCAGGTCCTAGGTGAAGGTAGGGATGTATAATTCTTAGAACACTGCTGATTTTTTTCCACCCCTTTAATTAGTCTCATTTGCTTCCCTACAGTAGATATGTTTTTCCTCAAAATTCTGTATCATAATAGCATACGTTTTGATAAGTAGTGGGATACATCATCTTCAGCGATACCAAACTAATGTGGGCAAAGCTATATATAATAGGCCACCGAAGGAAATTTTAACAGGATCTTTCACGACCTGAGGGAACTGTAGTTTAAAAGCGTAGTGGTCCAGTCAGCTGCTGAATACAATAGAAGGCAAGGAAAATCCCCTTCTCCATTCTGCTTAGCGTGGATGAGGGAACTGAAAGATTCATCTCGTTCATGCCTGCATGCTGAAGTTAATATATCTTAAGGTGTATGGTCAGCTTTATTCTAACCTGTTTGGATAGCAGTGCTAAAGGGATTTCTTTTTGATAGAATGGGGCGGGGTTTGAGCTCTTGCTAGTTCTTAGGTGACTAGGTGGTTCACAGGCGAATGCCAACTTCTTATTGGGTGTAGGGCTGGATCACCCCTCCTTGTTTTTTAGGTAACCAGTCTGGCTCACTTTATCTAAAAGATTAATTCTGGTATTTTGGATTATTATTTACACACAACACAAGTTGGGATGTCTAGACCAGGGATGTCTAAACTCCGGCCCTCCAGCTGTGGTGAAACTACAGATCCCATGAATCATCTCTCTCTGGGAGACATGTCTGTGACTGTGCCACAGTTTGGCCATCCCTGGTCTAGACTGATCAGAAACATAATATATAATGGGTTCTAAGTAATATGCGTTTATGTATTTTTGCTTAGCCGTATGTTTTCTTCTTTTCTTTTATAATATCCATTGTCAAATGTAATAACATGATTTTTAACACATTTTGTGCCAGGTATGTTCGGTAAGTATTGTCATTACACATACAATAAAGACCTTAACTAACTCTTTTACAGTATCAAATGATGAATCCCTGGATATGTCAATGGAATATAAAGATCAGCAAGCCCACCACCAATTGCATAGTGTAGTAACGGTTTGCTATTCTCTGTTACTCCTCCTGTGCTTCGGGTGGTGCGCTCGTGCTTCTCCACTTCTGGTTTATGGAAGATTATGGAAATATGTTCTATCTGGAATTCTACAATTGCGAGAAGATAAGCAAGTCCGGAAAATGTCTGCTTCTATGATGACGTTTTGTTCAGATTCGCTCAGCCTCCATTGTTAGGACAAGTGATAATTGTGGCCCTTGGAGAATGCAGAATGTGTGTTATCATTTCAGTATAGGAAGGGATACATCTGATCAAAATTCAATTTGGTTGTTTTTTAGCTTATGACATGATAAAATCTTAGCAGGGTCTACATAATTTATATCAATAGTTGTATTAATATTTTCAGACTTTTTTTCCCCACTCATTAAAATCTGCATTTCACTCCCAAAAGATTATATATCTTATGGAAGCAGAAACTCTGTAAAATGCCTGTACATGTATAGAATAGAGTACATATAAAATAACTGTTTTCTATGTTACATAGGTTGTAAAAAAGATACATGTCCAACAAGTTCATGTCCTGTTCACATCATGCATATGCAGTGGTGTGCAGGAAAACAAAGATCGATGAAACTTGGTGTGAACAAGCCCTAAATGTGATTAGGCAGCTATCATTTTGACACCTGGGCATACGGAATATGCGTGTTTGCCGCGCATTTCGTGAAACACATTTTTATCGTGATTTGCGGTAAAAGAAATGCACAACAAACACGCATTTCTGAGGGCTATCTGGCTGTATCTTAATGGATACGCGCGGCAAATACGCCCCAAAGAAGCTCCTGTATTTCTTTGGGCATAGGGCGTTTTAAAGCGCGTTCCTAAGCGCTGTAAAACGCCCAGGTGGGAACCAGGCCTAAGTCTGCAGATTAAATCCAACACCAGCTCATGGTTGCTATTGCAGCCATAGGCTTATTGTAACACTTGTATTGAATGAATGTGCATGGTGCATGTATTTGGCAGTGTTGAGTTAATTTAGCAAGAGTTACCAACGTACAGTGGGTCAACAACCATCTCAATAAGGGGCATTTCTCAAAACTGGAGCAGACAAAATCTGTAGCAGCTGTGCATGGCAGCCATCAGCCGCATCTTTCATTTCCAAATCTTAACTAAAGAGAGGAGCTGATTGGTTGCCATGCACAGCTGCTTCAGAGTTTGTCCGCTTCAGTTTTGATAAATGACCCCCCAATATGTTTTGACCACAAGATGCCTACTCATTGGATTAATTAGCCCCATGCTTTATCTCGTTCAGGCTGTCTGGTTCTTTCTGTTGATGGTGGTCTTTGTTTTCTAGGAAACATTTTGTTCTACAAGTCCAACATCTTGGGTTTCTGGCTGACAAGTTTACCAGTACATAAATTGGACTTCTATGTAGGTAAGTCTTAAAAACAATGGGTGGTAATCATCTTTGCTTACTCTCTACCCAGGCTTTGTATCTTCACAAAATGCCCTTCATTCAAGCTGCTTGCTTGAATGAAGGGCACAGACTTAACAGATGGGACTGACCAGTCCTTTAATGGTTTGTTGATAGATTGCAGTTATTTGTCTCAATTTGTTTCTCTTTTTCTGCTTTTCTGTAGCTCTTTGGGGTAAAACCAGTATTTCCTCACACCCTCACTGTTTTTCCTCCTTTCTTTCTACATAGGTCACATGTTCAACTCCATCCTAGAGATGTGAGATGCAAATCCAAACAGCAGGGAAACTGGGTATAAGTATGGGTATAAAGAAAACATTATATGATCTTTAAGTTGCTCTACTGTGAACAATTAAAAAAATATAACAAGTACAAACAAAATAAGAATGGATTATTACACAATTTCAAAATGACAATGAGACTCTTGGGTAACCATACTTCCTGGCCACTTTTGCAAGTTTGGAAACAGTTCTCTCTTCCAGACGGGAAGCCGTCTGGAAGAGAGAACTGTTCTCCTTCCTTCCCGCACCAGAAAACTCAGCTCTTGTCCCTGTTGATACGGGAGGTTGAAGCGGCAGAGTACTGCTGAATCAGATCCACAACCACCGTGAAACCACACAATGAAAATGTCATCAGCGTACACTACCACCTTCAGGGGCCTGGCCACTCCTTGCAACAAGCACGCCTCGACCTGATGAAGGGATCTATGGCAAAAACGTACAGGAGCAGGCTGAGAGGACAGCCTTGCCGGACCCCAGACCGGACCCTGAAGGGCCTGCCACTCCAACTGTTCACAAGAGCGAAGCTCTCAGCCCCTCTAGCAGTGTCACCATCCAATTGATAAATTTCCCCGGCAAGCCATATTTCCGTAAGACCGACCATAGGTAGTGATGATCCACTCGATCAAAAGCTTTGGACTGATCAATAGCCAGGAGGTACTTCCCCCACCCTCAGCCCTGCACTTCGAGGGCTTCCGGACCTCAAAAATTACATTCTTCCCCCAACCGTGCAGTACTGCGACACAGAAAAGACGTCCCTCGCCAGGCCCTGCATTCGTTTTAACAAAATCTTTGCCAGGACCTTCCTGTCGACATTAAGCAGAGATATGGGTCACCAGTTCCCTACATCTGCCGTGTCGACCATTTTGGGCTTCGTTAGCAAGATCAAGGCAGAAGTCCTCATATAGGAAGGTAACAATCCTCGAGCTAGGCTCTCATTATACACCTCTGTTAAGTGAGGGGCCAGGAGAGCGCAGAACTGCTGGTAAAATTCCACCCTCAGACCGACAGGACCCGGGGATTTATTCTTGTTCTGCTGCATGATGCAGACCTCTTCTATGGTGCGCTCGCTAAACAACTCATCAGTAGAAAGATGTGCACTTTCAGGGGGTATGAGGTTCCCCAGGAATTGATCAGCCCGATCCTCCTGGGGTCTCCTCCTTCCAAGAAGCTCCATATAATAGTTGTGGACGACCCTCTGGATCCCCTGAAGAGACTCCAAGGGTTCCATCGGTGTTCCACAGACAGGTAATGGTCTTAGTACCTTCCTTCTTCTTGCAACTGAGATAGGGATCAGATGAGTGGTAAGATCTGTGATCCCTCTCCTTTACAAGAGAGGCGTACCTGTCGTACTGGAAACTTCTCATCAGGGACTTGACCGCAGATATGTCCTCAGGGGCACCCCCCTGAGAGACCAAGCTATCCAGCTTCCTGAGCAAGCCCAGATATATTTTATACCTTGTGGCCTGCTGGTACCGGGTGAGATTGCGAAATAAGCTTCGGGTCCTGGCCTTCACTATCTCCCAACATTCAGACTTCGTCTGGCAGAAATCTACCAGCGTCATCTGGTCGTGAAATAATTCCTCAAAGGCCTGTTGAACCCTCTGTTCCACCAAGAGGTCTGAATAAGGCCGCCAGATCCCTTTGTGTGGGACGTTGCAGACGTTCAATTGACAGGATAAAACTTGATGGTTGGAGAATTCCACCGGGCCCAGCAAAGGTGCAGAGACCGGAAAACCCTCCTTAACATAAATCCTGTCTATTCTACTCTCGCTACTACCTCGGTGATAAGTGAAACCACCCGTGGGGGTGGGGAAGTGTTGAATGTACACATCCACCAAGCCAGCCTGACTAACCATTATTTGTTGTTTAGAAGCGCCAAGGGCAATCCTTATCCCTAGATAAGTGCAGGGTGCAGCCCCAAAGCAGTCAAGGGAACTGGAACATCTGAAAAAAAGCATAAAAGGGGCACCTTTCCTAGTGCAGATTTGTTTATTCCAATAAAATCATCAAGAATGTACTGACAGGTACTCACAATGTAGAAGTAAAAACGAGCTGCAGAACAGTAAAAACGGAGCAGTACAAGGATCCGTGTAGAGCGTCCTGTATGAGAATCACTGTAGTGTCGACACGTTTCCGGGGCACACCCCCTTCATCAGGACGTGATAACAGT